AGGTTGTTTTCCCACACCACCCGACCAGAGGGGCCCACCCAAGTTGTCTTGAGCATGGGGTCTAGGAGGGCTACCTCTGAAGGCTGAAGGACTTTGGATAAGGAATGAGCAGGCTTGGGACATTTTCCTTGTGGAGAGAGGAGAGAGTGCTCTGAGGATGGGCCCACCTCAACAAACATCCAGTAAGCCCCTACAGTGCGCCAGGCACTGCGCGAGGTGCTGGGGGCCCAAGAGTGAACAAGTGTCTGTCTTATAAGCTGAGGGAAGACAGACCAGCATCTGCGCAGTGGTGATGCTGAGGACCAGGCGCCATTATGGAAGGGAAATTCAAAGTGTGGAGGGAACCTGGGTTAGGAGCGATGGTGGCCAGGGAATGAAGTTCATGGAGAGAAGGAGAGAGACTCGGGGTTGAGGCTGGCTGGGTGGGTCCACTGGCCTAGGGGGCAGGACAAGAAGGCAGAGAGGCCAGCCAGCCATCTTCTTGCTGCTGACTTTGGCTTGCTGGTGGCGCAGCACACGTCCAGGCTATAAAGGGCAAAGGCCTTTGGCCCACGCTGCCCGCTGCCCCTCTCCCGGCCAGCCACAAAGCAGGAGATTCTCGTCCTTGGATACTCCGCTTCCCTCTCATCTCTGGACACCATCTGGGGCCCAGGGACAAGGTCAGAGCCACCTGAGACACCGCTCCAGAGGCTAATGATCAATGTCATCAAGGGAGAAGGAAGAAATCAGAGTTGGGAAATAGATCAGAGGGTCAAGGCTATGAAGAGGCCAGGCCGAAATGAGAAAATGAGTCAGGAAGCCAAAAGCCAAGAAATAGGGATGGGCTGGGGCAAGTGTTTCAGGCTCAGACCATGACTAATGCAAGGTGTGGGAAGCCCTGTGTCTTAGGGCAGTCTCAGGAGGCAGCCCGCATGCAGGACTAGAACCCACAGCTGATCAAGGGGACTACTGTCATGGTGCAATCAACATTCCTATGGCCTAGACCCTTGTGTTTACCTGTATTTACCTGCAACAGGGCCAATTCCAGGACTGGGATGACGGTTTCTCCCTCCCACACATCAGCCTTCAGAGTTAGTCAAGCAGCCATTCCTCTCGAGCAAAGGGAAGATCCAGAAAAGCTTCAGGACAACAGCCCTACCTTCAAATTATCTGCAATCTGCTTGCAGAGATTGCATGGCTCACTGGAAAGACCCCTGGAGAAAGACCTAAGCTAGATCTCCATCTCTGTTCCTCCCCTGATAGCTAAATGTTTCATGGGCCAATTACTTCAACTCCCAGCACTTCTGTTTTCCCTGGCGGCTTAGACGGTAAAGAATCCTCCTGCAATGAAAGAGACCCGGGTTCAATCCCTGGGTTTGGAGGATCCCCTGGAGAAGGGAATGGCTACCCACTCCAGTATTCTTGCCTGGAGAACCCCATGGACAGAGGAGCCTGGCTGGATACAGTCCATGGAGTCGCAGAGTCAGGACTGAGTGACTAAACACACACACAAGTATAGGGTTGTGGTGAGAATTCAATGAGTTGAAGTGTTAAAAGCACCAAGCATGCTGCTTGACACATAATAGGCACTCAAAAGATATTCATTCTCTCCCTGAAACAAAAACAAATGATTGCCACGCTCCACAGCTTAATGTTGAGTTGTGAACACCGATGCTACCAGTGGATCTGCTCAGCACCTGGATCTACTCAGAAGACTGCAGGGACAGCTGGGGACTGACCACCTGGATGGTGATGGAGATAGGTTGTGAGTGTTGTGTGTGTGTGTGTGTGTGTATGCATGCATGTGTGTTAGTCACTCAGTTTTGTCTGACTCTTTGTGACCCCATGGACTGTAGCCTGCCAGGCTCCTCTGTCTGTAGAATTCTCTAGGCAAGAATACTGGAATGGGTTGCCATCCCTGCTGGCTCAGGTATGCACGCATGCACATGTGCAAATCCCTGCATACTGTTGTGCCTCTGCAATTCAGAATCATGAGATTCTTCATTTTCTGTCTCATGTCCAGGATGGTGAGGACCCTATTCTGTAGTGTCTTTATATCTCCAATAAAAATAAAAAGTTGAATTAGAAATCATGCCTAACAGCTAACATTTCCTGTACTCCAGGTACTTTAGCAGCCCTCACCTATGAGATAAGCAAATGATTATTCCCACTTGAGATGGAGGAAGTCTAGGCTCTGAGAAGTAAAGGAAGTGACTTAAAGTAATGCGGCTGATAAGGACTGGAGTCACAATCCTGGGGAGCAAAACCCCCAGAGCACCTGCCCCGGACTGGATGTGAGCAACGGTCAGTCTCTATCTGACCCATGGGCATTTTGAAGTCTAATTGGTTTCTGCTAGCCTACCCTAGCCAGTTCATCTCACAATGCAAGAAGCCAGGTGTAGAATGATACGGTCTTCAGTTTAGTGACAAAAATCTGAGGTGCGCTTGCAGGAATTGCAGACACTGCCCAGACACTGGGCTCGCCCCAGAGAGTAGAAAGGGAACTGAAATTCCCAGCCATCTGAGCATAGTAGTACGGAAGCAATGCATGTTGAATGAAAGAACAAATGAATGAAAACAAACACATACATACGCACACACAAATATATGCTCCCTTATACTGTGCAAAGGTGCCTAAGTGCTCAAAACAGTTATAGACAAGCGTATACAGTGTGTGTGTTCGTCACTCAGTCATGTCCAACTCTTTTGACCCCATGGACTGTAGCCCACCAGGCTCCTCTGTCCATGGAATTCTCCAGTGGGTTGCCATTTCCTTCTCCAAAGCATGTACAATACAGATACTTAAGTACACCCACTCACACACAAAACACACTCGTGCCCACAGTCACAAATCCAAAATAAAGACACACATAAACACATGCATATGTGTAAACACAGATATTATGGGCAAACACATACGATCCAGATATGCCCAAACACTCATCTACTCACCCCTCATACACACGCATAGCAGCGATACCCAGACATCCTCCACCAAGACCCTGGGCCCAGGAAGGAATCTGTCTGCTCCACGAGCTTCAGCATGTTGGAGCTCGTCAGAAAGTTCTTGCAGCCCCCACCTAGCTGGCTGGTGACTGGCCCCTGGCTCCTGGACCTCTGGGCTTGGGGCTGGCCAAGCAGGACGCAGAGTCTCGGGCAGCCCCACGTGGGTGGGCGGGCAGACAGCCGACGCAGAGGTCACTGGGGTGAGAGCTGGGGCTGCCCTGGCCTCTCTTTTCCTGGTTGGAATGTGAGCTGTAAGGCCCGCCTCTCAGACCTCCCCTCTCTCCCACAGCCACCCGCCAGCCCCAGGCCCAGGCCAACCCATGACCCCAAGTCCTGCCAGGTTATTGCATCCAGGAAGCTGTGCGCAGAGGGTGGTGGTGGTGATGAATGCTTGAAGACACACACAAATATGCAGGGAGATGCACAGTCACACACCGCAGCCGGCCCAGATATTCACATACAAAGACATGGGCAGGCATACGAATTCACAATCCCGCTGAAAGGCACATTCAGACACACTTCCAAACCCAGCAGAAAAATTACACACCACATACACAATCACACAGGCATACAGAGATACCAAGAGAACAGACCCTCACAGAAGCGACATTTACAGACACCCAGACTACACAGAGAGCACACGGGGGACCTTCACAACCGCACCTAAATGCCCACACACAGGCACAGGCGCAGACACACACACACACGCACACAGACCCCTGCTGCACTGGAACACCTCCTTCTCCTGGGACCTGGAGGAAATGCTGCACTCGGCCACTCTCCAACCCACATGTGGCCGGTTTGCTGGCAAGGCCTGGGAAAACTGCTTCCCACAAGAGGAAATAGTGCTGAAGTCGCAGCGGGTGCCTGCTGTCTGAATGCCTGGCTAGGAGGATGGTGCTTGGGCTGAAGAGACAGCCACATGGCTTGGCTTAGTTACACACACATACACACACACTTTGCAAGAGTACATGTGTGTGCACGACACATACAGGCAGGGGCACTCTTGGAACCTCAGTTTCTTCATCTGTGTGCTGTGTGCTGTGCTTAGACTCTCAGCCCTGTCCGACTCTTTGCTCTGTCCACGGAGCCTGGCTGACTGCAGTCCACTGGGCTGCAAAGTCGGACACGGCTTCGTCTATAGAATAGGGCTGATTAATTCTTTCACCCTGCAGGATAACGGCGATGGTATAAGGTGGCACCATGAAGTGCCAGACCAAATCACTGCCTTCCTGGGGGGTCTGAAGCGGTATCTCTGCAGAGGCCGCTAACATCAGGAGCTTTGAGCACAGGCGTCGGGCTGACCTGGCTGTCCCGCACCCGAGGTGGCCAGAGCCGAGCTGCGGTCCCCTCTCCGCGGCCCGCACTGGGTGCTGCCCGAGTCCGATGGTGCTCCGTGCTGGGCGGCGGCAGCAGGCTCCGAATGTCGCCGGGGAGGATGTGGGCACGGGACTGACTGGCCTTCTTTCAAGTCCGCGTGGGGGTCGGCCCTTTCACGCACCGCGGGCTGAGGGAGTTGGGGCTCAGATCCACGCCGCCCGGCCGCCCTCTGGCCCCGCTGGGCTCGGCCTCTCCCTGGGACTCGGGTCTGGAGCCTCGTCGGCGGTGGGCGGGGCGGCCGTGCGGCCCCGCCCCGTCCGCGGCCCCTGAAACACCGCCGCCAACAAGCTTTAAGTCCCAGAAGGGAGCTGCTGTCTGAGCGAGAAGCGGCATCACTGGCCGGCTACCAGAGAGAGAGGACCCGGGATCGCGCTGGGACTCCTGACCGGCCCTCCCAGGGACCCGCCTGCCCCACGCCGCCCGGCCCCGCCGGACTCTGCATCAGCCTTACCTGCGGGGGCCTCCAGAATCTCCAGGGCTTTCAGAGGATGCTCAGGTCGCCCACGGGGACCTCGGGGCAGCAGTGAGGGGGGCATCCAGCTCCCATCCAACTCCGGTCCTGGGCCAGGGGCTCCCCCTGGAGATGAGCATGGTGGTTTTCTCTTGCAACCCCCTGGCTTGGTACGTCTGAGAAGATGCCTACCATGAGACTGTTCACTTGCTTCCTGCAGCTCCTGACGGGGCTGGCGTTGCCCGCCGTGCCCCCCCAGGTAAGACTCCCACCCCCAGACTGGGAATGGGGAGGGGCGGGGCTCTGAAATCCCAGACCCACAGCGGGCACTGGCACCCTCAAGGATGTCCACACGCTTCCCAGGAGCCAGGCCAGACCCAGTCCTCTGGGAGGAGACCTCGGGCTGGACTGTCCCAGACTCCAGCCTCTGGGGGTCTGTCTTGGCGGGGGCAGGGAAGCCACAGAGAAGGGAGGGAGGTTTCCTGTCTGGCCCCTGGAGCCCCCGGTGGCTTTGCTAAAAGCATCTCTCTGCTAATCCCAGGCGGGTCCCTGGCCTTGTGGTCAGGGTCGAGGCCCTGTGACCAGGCAGGCGTCCCCAGGACCTCTGACCTGGCCTGGTGGAAGGGAAGCCAGCCCAAGAGGCCATTGGTGGGGGAGGCTGGGCCCTGCCCCCGCCAAGGCTCCGGGCGGAGCCCAGGGCTCCTGGGTGGGCTGGGGTGGGGGGGCGAGACAAGAGTCCCACTGTGCCCTCTTTTCTGGGGTGGGCAGCCGGAGGTCCTGAGTGCAGGGCCTGGGGAAGTGAGCAGAGCCCTTTTCCCAGGAGCTGGGTGAGTCTGGCTGCAAGCCAGCTGGGGCAGTGAAATCCTGACAAAGCCAATGAAGCTCCCTTCCCACCACGGTACCCCCACGGCCCTATCCCACTGCCCTGGGAGTCCCCGGCCCCATCTCAGAAGTGGGTGGGCTGGGCAAGTCCCACGAGGGGCGGGAGAGCCGTACCACCCGCCGCCGCCCGCCTGCTGCAGGGCTGCTTAGAGGTATAACTTTACCGGCAGCAGCAGCTCCAGCGCCTCCGCTCCCACCAGCTGATGGCCTCCCCCTGGGCTCTGGCACCCGGCCAAGGCAAGCTGCACAGAGCCTAGCCGGGCTGCCTGGGGGCTGGGTAGAAGGGAGACCCCCATAGTCTCACCAGATCTTTGGGACATAGCAGGCAAATGGGTTTCCAAAGCTTCTCTAGTCTCCCATCCTTTCCAAATGAAGAAGCTGAGGCCAGAGAAAGTGGGACCCATCCAGGCTCCCTCAAGTTGTCAGTCGCACCTGGAAAGAGTGAGCCTTGAGATGGGGCGGCGTGTCTGAGCAGCAGGTGGGCAGGAGGGTGGAGGGGGCCTCTGTGCTCTTGCCAACGCACAGTACCCCAGAGCACAGAGGCCCAAGGTCACCCCCCCCTCACCTCTGCACCTTTCTGTCCACAGCAGTGGGCCTTGTCTTCTGGGAACATTTCATCAGAAGTGGAAGGTAAGCTGGCTGGGCGGGGAGGGGGTGGTGCAGGGCTCCCCAAGCCCTCACATCCCAGGGCTCAGCAGCGGATGGGAAAGGGTTGGCATGAAGAGTGGGTGCAGGCCGATATTAAGTTGGAAGAGTCTGCAAGCTGGCTGAGGCCCTAGCTGACAGAGTTGGCAGGGCCTGAGAGATCCCCCTTGCATTGTGACCGGGAGGCCTAGAGAGGTCTCTTCCTGGGCCAGGGTCACTGGGCATCCAGAGAGCAGGGCAGGAGCGCATATACCCAGTGTCCAAACAGTTGGCTCAGAGCCCTTTCCCAGCACGCTCTGAGGGGGCAGATGGGGTCTTGGAAGGCAGTGCAGTGATGAGTGCCAAGGGCTAGACTGAGGGTCAGAAGCAGGCTGCAGTGGGCCAGCAATCAGGAGGACCAGGGACGGGCAAGAGGACTTCCCAGCAGCCAGGCTGGAGGAACTTCAGGGACCTGAGGAGGCCTCTCCATTGATTACACACAGACAGAGTGAGTCGTGCCCTTCCCGGGCCCTCCACTCCCCACCCTAGGTTGCACCAAGGGAGAATCTTCAAAGGGCAAGACATTTGCCAAAGAGACATACGTGCAGAAGGCAGGAGGCCCATGCCAGGCCCCCCGCCTTGCTCCTCCCTCCCTGCCTCTCCGAGACGTGCAGGCAGGCCACACACCGCTTCCCACGGAAGAAAGGGAGCGTGTAGGGACGTGCGCACACACACGCGTGGTAGACTCTGCGTGCTGGGAACACCCTCCCTCTACCGCCTGGTAGCCAGCCTCTCCTGGACTTGGTCATGCTCTGCCAGCCTGAGTCGCAGGCCCCTTGGGCACTGAGAAGGTGGGGGCAGTAGCAGTCGTTGATTTCATTGATACCTTCTCCCTAGCCCTGCTGTCCCCTCTGGGACTGGCACAATATTAGGCTTTCTGGGATTTGGAGAGGGACCCATCACCTATCTCCACCCCATGGCCCTTTTGATCCTTTTAGTATATTTTGGACAAAGAAGTCTGAGCCTCAGTTTCATCATCTGTAAAATGGGAGTGTTAGACCAAATGATATCTAAAGGTTCTTTTTCCCAGGTGGCAGGATTCTGTGACTCCATAGAGGAGTCCCAAGAGTATATATATCCCAGGGACCTGGGTGAGGAGGCTGGGAAGTCTCAGTCCCTTAGAGCAGCTCCCCTGTCATCATCATCATCGATTAGGGAGCCTGTATTGTGACCAGGGAAAAAATTTTGGACCCCAGTTATCAAAACCCTGAAAATGACATCCCCTCATAATACCAGACAAGAGACAGCATGCTCTGTATTCTGCAGCCACAGACGTTGATTTTTTTTTTACTGTTACTATTCATGGTAATAGTATTGGCCACTTACTATAACTCCATGCTGACCACAAGCTGTGAACTAGGAAAGCACTCATATTCTCCACATTTTGTAGATGAAGGCTCTGGGGCTCAGAGAGGCCCTTGCGCTTGTTGCCTAAAGGCTCAGACACCCCTCAGGACATGTGGCAGAGCTGGAGTGCGTGACACCAAGCCTCACCATGGCTCACAGCTGAGCAGGCATGAACAGGGTGTCTCTCGAAGCAGGCTGGCTGTGTGCTCTGCTGGTGACCACAGAGGGGATACCTGCTGAGTTTGGGCTGGTGGTTCGTGGCTCTGCCCAGTCCTGTCCCCCCACTCCCACCCAGGGGCCTCCCCAGGAGCTTGCTCTCAGGGTGAAACACTTCCCATCTGGGGATCTCCTCTGTCCTGGGCGGTAGGCATCTGGAGCCAGACCAGAAGCTTGCCCAGGGGCTGGCAAGGGAGTCCACTCATGGCCCTGGGGGCAGCCAGGGGCCTGCCTGGGCCACAGGCAACCTACCTCCCACCCCATTCCTCTCTCCAACCCTGGCCTCTGAGCAGGTCGGGGGCCAGAGGAAGTGCTCTCAGGAGCAGATGAGCAGAGCTCTTTGCTGAGGAGCTCAGCCCACATCTGGGAGCGGTCACCACACTCTCTCAGTTGGCCCCTTGGCCAGCACCCTCTGTTTCTCCCACACCCCCAGACAGCAGCGCCAGGGATGAGCGGCGCTCTTCCTTGATGGCCACCAGGTAAGCCAGGCCCAGCCCACTGCCTTCCCCGCCCTCTCCCAGCACCATCTGGGCTATGCGGCCCAGGACGTGCTGGGCTTCAGGGCCCTGGAGGCTGGGTCCTGTTGACACAGTCGTGTGGTGGGCGTGGGGGGAACAGGAAGTCTCTTCTTCCTTCTCAGCCCTGCCGGGCTCTGCTTAACCCGGCAGTGGCCCCACAGCCCGGGTGGGCTGGAGTCTGTTTGTGGGATGATAGGGGCCTTCGGGGCCCCTCCTCTGCTTTTGCACTCTTCCTGATGGCTGGTCCTGAGGTGGAACCCTGAACCTTCTATGGCACTTTGGCAGCTGGCTATTCCTCTGCTGTTATTTACGTTTTCCAAGGCAGAGATTAAGCGTTGAGAGTTATGTAGTGCTCATGAAGCTTTTAGACTAAACACGCACTCATGGAGTTACATTAGGGAGCTGCTCCTCTGACCTCTGCCTGCAAAGGCCAGTTTCCTGGGGTTCTGGGCTGCCTGGCGGACACGGCCTTGCTTCCTGCTTGGGTCCAGGGAGAGTGGCCCAGAGGCCTGGAGAGGCAGGATCAGGGAGGCCTCTGGTCCCCTTCCCATCCCCGGACCCAGCCCTAGTGCCCCTGCAACAGAAAGGGCAGAATGGAGCCGCAGACGCCCAGATAAGCAGGGTTTATTGCTCTGTGCCGCCCCAGCCAGCTCCACGTGGACACACCGCCTCTTGGGTATTTTCCACCGGCTTGCAGCCTTTCCCAAGGGCCTCTGCTAGGGCTGAAGTTTATTTTTCCTCCAAGATTACCCTGAGACTCACGTCCTTGTAGAATGGACTTCAGCCCCTTCTGCCTCCTAGGAAGGGCCATGGGAGGAAGTAAGGGGCTGCTGGGAGCAGGGCAGAGGCTGCAGGGACCCCAGGTGGTCCAGCTCCCCTGTTCTCCCCCACCAGAGGAGGACGACCATCCAGTGCAGGGCAGGGTGACCCAGGATTGGCAATGTGTCTCTGCCTGCAGTCTCAAGGCTGGGCTGGGTCGTGTGTGCAGTGCACACAGAAACACAGAGTGCCTGTCAGCGCTGGGGGAGCCCTTAGCAACCATCTCTTCTCAGCCTTCTTCTTTTTCCCCAGCTGGAGAAACTGATACACCCAGAAAGGTGCAGTGACCTCCCCAAGGTCACACAGCCAGCGCAGGGCCGGGACTAGGAGCCAGTCTCCTGGCTCTGGCTATTCAATTCCTGCCAGTCTGTGTTTGGGTCCAGGCCCCAGGCCCTCCCCGAAAGGAGCAGCGTCTTTTGAGAGACTCCAGATCAGGCCCCCAAAGATCCGGTCACAACCACCAGGACATCGTGGGGGTCGGGGATGTCCCTGATAATTTTCAGTGAACTATCATCTACTCAGTCAGTAATTACCTAGCCTGTGTTTACTGGGTGTTTGGGTGCCTGTCTTCAAGGAGCCTCAACTCGCTTGTAAAAATGATAAAAGCCTCCAGTGACGGAGATAAAGCAAGCCCTTGGGGCTGAGTTATGCTCAAAAGAGGAACATCTGTTCATATCAGACAAGTTGGAGAAGGCTTCGGAGAGGAGGAGGGGAGGCAGGCCCGGAGGAGTGGGTGGTGGGCTTTATTTGGTTAGAAATGAGAAGGGGGCAAGGAGCATGGACCAAAAGAGGGGATCTGAGTGATGCGGCCCAACGGAAAGTGGAGAGCGGGCATGGGCCACATCGCCGGCTGCAGTCTGGGCCACCAGGCGGAGGAGCTGGTCCAGACAGGAGAGGAAATAAGGACTAAGGGGAAGGTTCACCCTCCCTGTGGGACTCTGCAAGCCAGTCTTGCGGAACTTGCAGAGCTAACTGTATTCTGCCAATTCCTCAAGACCAGGGGAGGACCAGGTCAGGCCCTGAGAAAGATCCAGAGGGCCTGGGGATACTGCCAGGACACACTCCTCCGAGCCCAAGGCCCCCGAGGCCGATGCCAGCGCCTGAGCTGAGAACAGAGCCGAGAATCGCAAGCCCCTAAGAAGTTCTGTTCCCCTGGGATTTCCATCTAGCAGATGAGCCGGGAGGGCGGGGGGGGGGGGGGGTGGCGCACAGCTGTCATCCCAGAGGATTGACATCAAGAGTTCAGAGCAGAGGGAGAGCTCACGTAGGCTGGGGGCTTCCTGGAGGAGCGGGTGTGGGCTGAACCTGGGAGGGCCTGCCCTGCCCCAGGACCTGAGCCGGCTGTCTGCGCCTCCTTGCAGTGGTGCCCTTCCAGCAAGTGTGGAAGCGCAGCTACTGCCGGCCGGTGGAGAGGTTGGTGGACATCGTGTCTGAGTACCCCGGCGAGACGGAGCACCTGTTCAGCCCGTCCTGCGTCTCCCTGCTGCGCTGCACCGGCTGCTGCAGCGATGAAAAGATGCACTGCATGCCCCTGGAGACAGCCAACATCACCATGCAGGTAGGCAGATGCCCCGGCTCGGGTCCCAGCCTGCCCCGCCATCCACAGCCACAGAGTCTGCCCCCCCCCGCCGAGAGAGGGGACCAGGAGAGGGCAGGCCAGGGTCACAGGACCCGAACTGACACCCAGGTGTTCTTACCCACAGCACTCCTCCTTCTTGAGCCCCAACCCCATCTTTGAGCCCCCTTCTCCTCCTCCCTTACCAGCTTTCTCAGGCTCTGGCTTAGCCCTACCCCAGGACACAAGATATCTGATTGAGGTTGGGAAAGAAATCTGTTCGGATTCAAAACGTCCCTTTTTATACCAGGAGCATTTGGTGCCCTGAGCTTTGCTTCCACACTCACACTCACAATGTTGGGTTTTTTTCTGAGCACTTGAAACTTCAAAAATTTCCAAGCACTGTGCTTCAGAAATGTTACCTCAACATTCAATCCTTGAGCCAAGTGATATTCCCATTTCACAGAGGGAAGCTAAGCTTCAGAGATGATATTTCACCTACTTAGCAAGTGGAAAAGCCACGATTTGAACATAGGTCTTGCTGCCTTCAGAGCACGGGCCACCTTCCTACCCTGTGCTTTGCTGATGGCCCTGGGAAGAGGCAGGGATGGGAGCCTCCCTCGGGTCCACAGGTAGGTAGGAGGGCTGTTTGCCCCACACTCCAAGCGGAATGAGGGTGTGTAGTACAGAAGTAAATAAGTAGGTGTTAGTCGCTCAGTTGCGTCCGATTCTTTGCAATCCTGCAGACTGTAACCCACCAGCTATCCTCTGTCCATGGGATTCTCCAGGCATGAATACTGGAGTGGGTTGCCAAGCCCTCCTCCAAGGGATCTTCCCTACCCAGGAATTGAACCCAGGTCTCCCGCATTGCAGGCTGATTCTTTACCATCTGAGCCACCAGGGAAGCCCATGCAGTACCAAGGCTGGTGGGAAGTAGGGAGCCTGGTCCTCCCCTAAGGGGTGGCTGGATGGAGTATTGGAAACCCGCAGGCCACCCCGGTAGTGCAGTCACCCAGCCTTTGTCTCCTCACAGCTCATGAAGTACCGCGCTCTGGACTTGCCCTTCTTTGTGGAGATGAGCTTCTTCCAGCATGTCAGCTGTGAGTGCAGGTGGGTCCTCGGGTGCGGCCGGGACAGCCCCCACGCCCCTGGCGGCACCAGCCAGGGGCTGCCCATCCGTGCTGCAGTCTGTGCCTCCTTCCTTGTTGATGGAGACCAGGGAAATCCGGGACTGGTGACAGCCCAGGAAGCTGGTCCCAGGAGCTGGAGCATTCGCTACTGAGAAGTCACAGGGCCAGAGGGAGCCAGGGTCCCTCCCAAACTGGCCAGGCTTGGGCACGCTGTCTCCCTTCTCGAGCTGGGAGGGGGATGCCAGGGCCCTGGAAGAGGCACTTGGACCCACGGGAGGGGGCAACGGGATTGAGGAGCTCAAAGGCAGACAAACCCTGGTAGGAGGGACGGGGCAGAGGGGAGGAGGCACAGGCTTTCTTTAAAGTCAAGTCTCCACCTGGCAGAGCCTCTCCCCAACACATCTTGCTGCTGGTGCCCAGGGCACTCTTAGCATTAGTTACCAGGAGCAGCAGGCCTGGCACCGGCAACTGGTTCAGGGGCACTCCTGATACCTCTGGGCCATGGGATGGAGGCATGGGACCAGAGGTCCTGAGCCATGTCATGGGGCAGGAAGAAGGGGAGAACCACCATTTATGGTGCATCTCCTCTGTGCCTCGCCCAACATAGGCACCCGACCTGAGTGTGTTTTCTGATTTAATCAGCAGACATCTATTGAGCACTTACTATATGCTAGGTATGGTCTTAGATGCTTGGGATACAGTGGTGAGCAAGACAGACCAGGTCCTTGGTCTCCTAACCACCCATTTTACAGATGAGGAAACTGAGGCTTGCTATGGTTACATGATTTGCCACAGCTAGTGGGTTGACCCCAGCCTGTTGACCCCTAAACCTGCCCTTTCTCATGCTACCTCTCATGGCCATTACCACACTCTACAGACACCCCAGTACTGCCCTGGGCTTGGTCCTGCCTGGTGTCCGGGGCTCTGGCCACTGCTCTTGGACCTATACCACTGCTAGAAGCCCTGCCTCAATATGTTTCCTCCCATCCTCCCTTGCCAGGGCTTGGCCATGTAACAACAGTTCAGTAGCAAATCCTCCTTGGCACAGTGCTAGACAGTGACCTTTCACCTTCCCCATCACCTTTGCCCTCATAACCTGGGGCAGACAGATGAGAAGATTAAGGGTACAAGAGTGTCTCTGACTGGTCCCAGATGGCAGAGACAAGACCAGACAGTCCAAGGAGGTGCTGGTACCCTGCCCTGGCTCCCAAGGGAGACGGCCAGCCTAGGGCAGCCTTCCCTGGCCCAAAGCTGACTGTCACCACGCTGTCCCACACCCCCACCCTGGTTCCCAGGGAAGACTGTCGCCTTCCAGAGGGCTGAGCAACAGGGCCACCTTTCTTCTCTCTTCTGGGCCAACAGCCACAGCCCTGGGAGACAGAGCCAGGACAAGTCTGATGACTGTGGGGTTTTCGATCACCTCCCGTCATCCCGCTCCCTCACCCTGATCCCTGAGATTGCTGCTGAGGGTGGTGGCCGTTGTGCCTTGACAGGTGGCCTTGCCCCTCACTCACTGCCAGTGAGGACACTCCCAGAGGGCACTCTGGAAGGAAAGGGCACCCTGGCAGGTGCAAGGGAAAGAAGTGAATAGAGAAAGGCTGCAGAGAGCAGACTCAGCCCCCAGATTTGATTCCAAGAAGCAGAGGAGAGCAGACGGGTGTGGAGAAGACCCCCAAGAGGGCACTCACACCTCTCGTAGTGGGGTCACCAGGGCCTAGAGTGGGAGTGGAAGCCCCCAGGCCTCTGGGCATCTCTCCCTCACCAGCTCCACGCTACCCCCTAGTGGCTTCAGCCCCAACTACAGGGCCAGCCACAGTGATGGCCAGGGGAGTCTGGCCAGGGAGCCCCCACCTACAGCTGTCCTAATTCTCCTCCATTCCTCTCTCTGTTTTTCCAGACCTCGGTGGGGGAAGACGAAGCTAAAAAGGTAAGCAGCCTGGCAGGGGTGCCAGGCTGTTCTCAGGCCTGCCAAGCCCTGACCTAGCATGGGGGTCCCCAGCCGCTCTGTCTTGACGCTTTTGGCTTATTGCAGGAGGAGAGCCAAGGTCAGGGGCCAGAGGAAGAGAAAGGAGCAGAAACACAAAGACTGTCACCTGTGAGTGCGTGGGGGTGCCCAGGGATGGCAAGGAGGCTGGGCCAGAGGGGAGCCCCACCCTGCCAACACGGTCAGTGGTCGGGGAGGAACAAAGCCAGCGGTGCGGGCCAGAACCTAGAGGTGCCAGGGCCTAGGAAGCCTCAGGTGAACCGAGACAATAACCAGGAAACCATCCTGGCTTAGTTCTAAGTCTCTGTGTGGCCTTGAGCAAATCACATCACCTCTCTGAGCCTAGTTTTTCTGTGTGTAGAATGAGCATCAGGGGGGTCAAACAAGCATTCGGTCCATCTACAAACATTTACCAAGCACTTACTGTGTGCCAGGTACTTTCGTGGGCAGACCAATAATATTTCTGCCCTTACAGGGTTTACACTCTAGTGTTAGAAAGTCCAAAAATTTAGGGACTTAGACTGGCGGTCTACAGTCCTTAGGGTGGTAAAGAGTCAGACCCGACTGAAACGACTTAGCACACACACAGGCCAGTGGTCCAGTGGTTAAGACTCCAACACACGGGTTGCCGGTTTGATCCCTGGTCAGGAAACTAAGGTCCCACATGCTGCAGCGTGTGGCCAAAAAAAAAAAAAGAAGTAAGAATTTTTTTTTTTTTAAGTCCAAACACTTAGCCAGGGCTACCTCTTGGAGGCCCTAGGGAAGGTAAAGCCCCTCACTGGCTCTCAGGCCAGTATTTCTTTCACTCTCCCAGAGAGCCTTGGGGTCTACTTGCTTTTCTTTCTTTGTCCATGTTACCTGTCCATTTGGTTTCACCTCTGGAGAAGGTGGTTGGGGTCCAGGCCTGAGCGTTGGAAGAGCAGAATTAGCAAAGGGCAACCCCGAATCTGTGAGAGTAAGCAGGAAAAATAAAGTAGCTCACACGCGCAGTAACTCAGTCACGCTGTGGTTCTCCTTCAAGGCCAGTCTCCTCCCAGCAACAGGACGGTCTCCACAGTCCTGTCTTTTCCACAGATCTTCTCATGTCATGGGGCTGGGGCTGGCCAAGCCCTATCCTGTGAGCCTGTCCCTGCAGGAGCAGACACGTCCACCCCACTCCGTGAAGCTAGGGCTTCTCAGAGGTTGGTCCCCGCAGGCCTGTAGCCCCTATTTCTCCCCGGGTTCCAAGCAGTGACTAGGGGAGGGGCTGGCAGTCCCCACAGGGCTCCTCAGCCAGGCAGCCCCAGATGGAAAGCATCCTGTGCTAGCTGCTGGGGTAGCAGTCTTCCAGTGTTTCATTTGGGAATCTCTTGAAAGAATTTCCAAAGCCCACGTGCCCCCTTGTTCATTTTTAAGTCGATATTAACCTTTTTCATCAACATTGTAGATAGTTGCAAAGGATGTAATATATTAATATTTTAATATGAAGCCATTATATCACTCTCCAGAGGTATCCTGTGGAATAAGCCATCCTGATTTAATACGATCATCCACTTTTTAAAAATTGTTTAACAACATCAAAAAATATATGAACACTCTCCTTTAATAGCTGCATATTTCCATTGCTTCTTTTTTCCTCGAACATGACTTTCCATTTTACTTTCCCCAGAGAATTTCAGCCTAATTTAATATTTTTTAAATAGTCAAACATTTTTTATGTACCACCTTGTCTTACTTATCTGCCACAACAATGGTATATGAGTTTGAATTATTTTAAATTTTCCTGTGAGCAGAAAACTCAAAATTAAATTTTTTCTTGGAATGAATTATCACAGTAATTATTAGTAGTACCCATTGATTAAAACAGCACAAATACATTATATTTTACTAGATGCTAAGCACAAAAGGACAATCAATCTTACTGGGGTTGCATCTCAATGAGATGGATGCAGCTACTTTCCAATTAGTTGATGAACCCGGCAAGAACCTGGCAATGAACGTTATCTCCTGCCAGACTGAGACAGAATTCAGCAGTAATTCCATTCCTGTTTATTTTTTGCAGATGAAAAGATTGAAAAACCATGTTCACATAAATAAATAAATGGGGCTGGGTGTTACTCAAGCACTTGAACCCCTTCCAAGTTATCAATATTTGCCGAAAACCTGAAAGTGATCTGCTATAAGAATTTACTTCTCTTAACATATTAGCTGATGATTTAGCTAATCTCTTCAATTTTGTTGAAAACAGATGTGGAAACCACCCAACTTACAAAAGACTTGGTTACTCAATAGCTCATCATATTTCTTTTCTCAACCACCTACACCGATATCTATCAAATTGTTTTTTTATTCAGTGTCCCCCTGAATCCTTTTTACCTTGAGGCAAAGTACTGTAACAGGAGCTTCCTTCCTTTCTAAGGGAGAAGGGCCTTTGGCAATGAGATGATAGGAAACAGACCTCTGTCGCAGACAGTTTTCGGGCAGAGTGCAGGTAGAGACTGGGAGCAGATTCCTTTAAAACCACTAATATTCACATAGGACTTGGACAGTCTTCATGTGCATCCAAGGGTTCTGGTATCCTCGTTTGAAGATTGCTGCCCCAAAGTAACCAAAGGCATTGGTGCATGGAGCCAGACTGTGTCCAGAGCCGGCTTTGTCACTAACTTGCTGTGTGACCTTGGGCAAGTTTCTTAACCTCTCTGAGCCTCTGTTTCCTCATCTGCTAAAGGATGATAGTGATTGCGCCCTTCCTCATGGAATAGTGTTAAGGGTAAATGAGAGAGTGCTTGGCGCAGGGCCGAGCACATGGGTAAGTGCTTGGTGAAGGCCAGTCCCTAACCGCTTCTCAGCCTCGTGCAAGCAGAGATCCAGGAGCACTGCATGCTCTCCGTGCTCCCTGTGCAAGCTCCCACTCTGGGAAGTCCTCCCTCCCGTAGGAGGGACCCCACCCTCCACCCTGGGCTGATACCCTCTTTCTGTGTTTGGTCTCTGGCAGGTGCGGTGATACTCTTTCCCGGAGGTAACCAGTCCCTCGGAGGAGAGAGACCCCCCACAGCCGGCTCGTGTATTTATTACCGTCACATTCTCAGTTACCCCCCGCTGGCACCTGCCCTCTATTTATTAGCCAATTGTACCCCTGCTGAGTGACTCGCTCCCTCCGCGGGACAGGACCCTCAGGAATTCAGTGCCTTAAACAGAACGTGAGAGAAAGAAGACAGACCCATGTGGCTTCAGCTTGAGAAGGAGCAAGACTTGTGGCTTTGTGAGGGGCAGGCCTGGCCCCAGAGGCCCCGGGGGTCTCCAGGAGGCTGGAGAAGGAAGGACTGGAGACCCCCCACCTGCCCTCCCGGAAACTTGGGCTCCGCACAGACCAGCGACCCTCGCTGGGGAAGCTCCTGGCAGAAGTGGGGGGTGGAGGCCCCTGCTCTGGCCACCCTGGCCCTGCTGAGGGGGTGGGCGGGCAGCCACTCTGCACCCTGGAGGTCGGACGTTCAGCTCTGGAGAACAGTGCTTGCCTGGGGGGCCTCTGCCACTCCTCGTCCCCTCGGTCTCGCCTCACCTCTTAACTGCTGCTTGTGCTGAGACATTGTTCTTTGTGGCCAAAGCATCATCATCCCGCCCCTCTCAAGGACACAGGCAAAGAGTGGGCCCCAAGCTGGACATGGAGCGAGCTGCCCTCGCGTGGCTGTCTGACCACCAAGCCAGTTTCTCTTGAATAAAGTATTCTAGTCTGAAACTGCTTTCCAGGGGAGTGTTCCTGCCAGAGCAGCAGGCGACAGCAGGAAATGGAAGGGGGCCAGAGGAAAGAGGACCGTGGGCCCCAAGGCTGCCTGGGGTGGGAGTGGGGGTGGGGGTCCAGCCTGCAGTCCCTGGGGTGTCTTCTCCAGATGCTTTAGGCAAAACCCCGAGGCCCGCTCTTCCCATAATGAGGGGTTCCCAGAATGGAGGCTTGGCCCTAAACTTGGGGGCCCAGGCCTCAGCCACCCCTGAACACCCTCAAATTCAAGAGCTCAGTCCTCTTCCCCGGCCCCTGCCACCTCCCCCAGGGCCACCCTACCCCCAGCCCAATGCCCGGCTCTCAGGTGCCACAGCTCCTGGCTGCAGGGACCTAAACCACGCCACCTCCAGCCCACTCTAGCTGCTGAATGCAGGGACTGGCAGATGCTACCTGATTTCTTCTGCCCTGGACCTCCCATCTTCCTGTTTCCTCCTTAATGCCTTGGCATGAAAGGAGGAAAAACATGCTTTTTTTTTTCCCCCAATCCAAACTACTTATTATCTGACTCCCTTCAGCCTCCAACCCCCGAGGTATGTCTGTTTTCCTGTTGTGTTTAGGGACAGGGTGCTCCCTGTTCTCTCTGATTGCAGGCTGCTCAGATAAAGCCTCAGGGCCCGGGGCCGGAGCCCTCCTCAGGCTTTGGAGGGAAGCCAGGGACGGTCTGGGTGGGGTAGCCCTGCTGAGGCAGCTGCCCTTGGTGGTCTGTCCACCACTGAGGCCTGGGCAGCCCTGGAGGACACCCCGGTCAGAGTGTGCTTCTGGCCGGTGATCACAGAGTGGGTGTGGGCCGGCCCCGCAGGACATACTTCGTGGGAGAAAGGTATTTTCTCTTCTGCCTCTTCCCTCTTGGGTTACACCCATTCCGAGCTGTTGCCTCGGAGGGATGGATAGCTAAGAAGGGCACCCCTCCCCTTTAGTCAGTCTCTGATGGGGCCCCAGGGACACTACCCCAGCCCTTGTAGCATGTCCCAGGCTCTCAACTTCACAAGTCACCCACATGGAGTTCTGCCTCCCCACCCAGACCAGCCACCCCTGGAGAGAACTAGACCAGGGGAGCAGCCAGAGGCCAGAAGCAAAACTCTGCATCTGTGGCCAGAACCTCACAGCTGGAGCCAGTAGGAAGGGAGCTAACTGGTACATCTGACCACTCTGGACATGCTTTCAGGTCATTCTGGACGTAGCAGGCCCTTTTCTTTTGCTCTTTATCTCTTTGTGGAGCCCCACCTGTGTACCTAGGCACCAGGGACCCAGTGGGGAATAAAACATCCAGGACCTGCTCTCATGGATCTCATATTTGAGTGGAGAGATGGACCACAATCATGGATTCAGGATGTGGGGTGGACTTTATTGTTTTTCACATTGCAGAGTGGATCCAGCGCTTAGGAGAAAGGTGTCTTGAGCACCCCTCCCCACTTTTTAAAACAAAGAAGCAGCAATTTGGGGCTGGACACATCTGTCTACAGGATTTATTATTAATAAGAGATGGCTGAAGTAGTCCTGTTAGGCTCAAACATCACCCAGCACACCCTTCTTCAGTCTCCATAAGCAGAGGGCCAGGGGCAGGGGTTGGGGGAGGAGAGAGAGGGAGAGGTAGTCATTGGATACCTGGGTTGCTGGTGTCTTCCCCTCCTCTCCCTGGAGCTGGATTTGCCATTCAGATTAGCCCGTGTGCTATCTGGCTGGGGCTTAGATGGATGGAGAAGTGAATAGCGACAGGTGACAGGGAGAGGGGACACTTCAGGACATCAAGCAGTCATTTCCCACAGGTTGGGGGGCGTGGGGAAGGTGAATGGCCATGATCTGCCTTGCCCATGGTCTCCCAAGAGGTGAAGAGGCCCCATAGTCTATAGGCTGTGGGCATAGAGTTCGGGCAATCGCTGAGTGGGGGTGTCAGGTATAGACCTGGAAAAGGAGCACAATAGGGAACTGAGGAGTGGGGCAACCCTGCGGTGCACCCACAGGATAGTTGGCATCTCGATGCCTACCATACCAGGTACATGCCCAGCTAGAGAGGAGATGGCCTCTGCTAAGAGGAACTTTCCCCCTAATTTCTTCTTCCTGACCCTGTGAAAAAGAGAAAAGGACTTTGGCCAGGAAAGTGGTGAGGAGTCTAAGGGCAGACCATGCCTCTTCCTGCTCCCTCGAGTTCAATCCAGGCCCTGCCCAGGAGTGAAAGGAGTTAGCCTTCAATTAGATGGACCAGCTTAAATGAGGCCAGGCCTTTAATAAATTAAAGTGACAGGAACATTAGAAGATCTGCCCAAGATGCTATTAAGAAACAGGAAAAGGAGAATCAACACAGTTCATCTAGAAGCAACGATGAGAGAAAGAAACTGGTTTGTTTGTATTCCTGCGGCTTGCTCAATAAGCAACTGATACATGTAAACAGAGAAATTAATGAGAAAATGGTCTTATTGCCAGAGTATGGGTCTGGCACATTAGAGATGGCCCTTCGTTTGAAGGGTTTGAGTAGACCTGGATCTGCTTTGACCAATAGAGTACGGGAGAAAGGACCCTATAATGGTTCCAAGTCCTTTAAAGAGGACTGGCAGCTTCTGCCTTGGTCTCTTGGAACCCTGAGCTGCCATGTGAGAAATCCAACTATGGTGAGGTCACCATGTTGGAAGGAAGCCCAAGCCAGCAATATAGATGTGTGGGGAGGAGGCAGGTGGGGATCAGTCAGCCTCCAACTGTTCCAGGTCCCGGGCATTACAGTCATCTCAAATGAAGCCTCAGACCCCCAAGAGAAGAGACAGATTGGGACTTCCCTGGTGGTTCAGTGATTGGGCGTCCGCCTTCCAATGCAGGGGAAGTGGCTTCGACCCCTGCTTGAGGAACTGGGATCCTACATGTTGCAGGGCAGCTTAGTCTGTGAGCTGCAACTTCTGAGCCGGCACGCTCCAGAGTCCCTGCTCCGCAGCAAGAGAAGCCTGTGTACCGCAACAAAGACCCAGCGCATCCAAATAAATAATGAAACTGTTTCCCACTAAAAAAAATATTAAAAAGAGAGAGAGGAGAGAGAAGTTGTACCCACTGTACCCTACTTGATTTCATCATTGTTGAATTATGAAATAAAATAATAACAGAGTATTTGGAGGCAGTTGTCATGCAGCAAAGGAGGCTTCATGGAAATAAGGAAAGGCGATGAGACAGTGTTTGGGGAAAGTCTCCTAGACCAGGAAGTCACAGAAGGCCTCTCTGTGGAGGTGACCTTTATGGTGAAGTTATAGTCATGTGACAATTACTCCAAAGCGGGACAAGAGCCCTTCAAACAGAAAACACAGCTGATGCAAAAGCCTGGAAGGAATCCCAGTGTGGCTGGAGCCTGAAGGGCAAGAGAGGAAGGACCGTAAGATGTGATGTTAGAGGTAGGCAGATCGTGAAGGGCTTTGCAGGGTAAGGAGTTTGAGTTTTGTTATAATGTAAAGGGAAACCATTGGAGGGGTTCAAGCAAGGAAATAAAGCGATAATCTGCACATTTCTTGAAAGCTCACTCTGCCTTCTGTGTGGAGAATGGACCTTAGGGGCACACGACCAGAAGTACAAATACCACTGAGAAGGCCAAAGAGAGTTTGGTCTTAATTATGCATGTGAGCGGGTTACCCTGATCATTCATTCACTCCTGAACATTTTTTGAGTCTACTAGGACCAGGCATTTTGTAATGGATACATGTGTGAAGGGGCAAAATATATTAGCACATGAAAGTCTTTCCAGTTCAGTTCAGTCACTCAGTCGTGTCCGACTCTTTGCGACCCCATGGACTGCGGCATGCCAGGCCTCCCTGTCCATCACCAACTCCCAGAGTTTACTCAAACTCATTTCCATTGAGTCCATGATGCCATCCAACCATCTCATCCTCTGTCATCCCCTTCTCCTCCCGTCTTCAATCTTTCCCGGTATCAGGGTCTTTTCAAATGAGTCAGCTCTTCACATCAGGTGGCCAAAGTATTGGAGTTTCAGCTTCAACATCAGTCCTTCCAATGAATATTCAGGACTGATTTCCTTTAGGATGGACTGGTTGGATCTCCTTGCAGTCCAAGGGACTCTCAAGAGTCTTCTCCAACACCACAGTTCAAAAACATCAATTCTTTGGTGCTCAGCTTTCTTTATAGTCCAGCTCTCACATCCATACATAACTACTGGAAAAACCATAGCTTTGACTAGACGGACCTTTGCTGGCAAAGTAATGTCTCTGCTCTTTCATAAGCTGTCTAGGATGGACAGGGAGGCCTGGCATGCTGCAG